TAGAAATGTGTCATGTGGTGCCTCAGATTACTGAAGACTGAACTTATTATCAAGGTGCTATGCCATATAATTTGAACATAACATAAAAAAAAATGACAGCAACTAGTACAGATAATTACGTTATGAGATCATGAATGAATAATTCTTTCTACTTAAGGAACATCTCAGATTGTTTTTCAGAAGAAAATGAAGCAGAATTATCTTCATTTTGCATCAGAGGAAAGTGAAGGACAAAATTCTAGTTAATTTGTTCAAAAATATAACAGAACCAAGTGCAGCATTTGAGAATTCCAAGTCTGTTAAAAACAAGTATCTTGTTACAGGTATTCCATTATTCTAGACTTGGGAAATAAAGCCTCATATGTAAGATAGCTCTGATGATAAACTTACTAAAATCAATAGGAAGTAATATCAAGGCCTTTGAAATGTTTATGACATCCTTTTCTAGTTACATACAGATTATCTATTATATATTATGGGACAATGTTACTTCATACACATAAATTTGCTACCTTCTTCTTTAATATTATATTGTGTTTCAGTAGCTTGAAGCCGCTGATTCAACTTTGTCAATAAAGAGTTTAACCTGTGTACTAAAATACTTAGATAAATTAACCCATACTTTTCAAAGTAACTTCAAAGAAAAATTAAGCCATTACATTCATTTGAACATAGTGTTATGTAAGCACATCACGTCTATATATATATGGAATATATTTATGCAACTTTCAGCATACCAATTTTAAAGTTAGGCCTGGAAGTCTCCAATTGGTGGAGGCTCCAAAACTAGTGTTCTGACATTATTGTGGAAGCCATATTGAAAGCACTACATAGTGTTAATCTTAATTTATCACAGACTTCTTAAAAAGTCCTCCAAACAAAAAGAGTCATTGTTCTTTTTTGAACACTGTAAACTCTTCTATGCAGCTCTTTGGACTGAAATCTAGGTTATGTAGATATTCGTGAGCAGGTTAACTTTTATTACTCTTCTGCAAAAACATAGCCTCATTGGTCTCCTGGTAAAACATTCAGCTACCACAAGAGGTGGTAAAGGGGCTTGGTATCTCTCTTTAAGAATCTCTTGAGAAATCAATGGCTAGATAATAAGAATTAAGAATTTACATCATGTAAGCAGACAAGTGACATTGAATTGGGAGGAATCGGCAACTACCCCATATTTCTCAACACTTGTTCTTTCAGTAGGGCTACACTATAGATATTACCATTCAGCTAAAGGATAAAAGCTTTAAAACAGTCAAAACCAGAAAAACAGGCTAATTCAAGAAGATAACAAACAAATACTTTGTGAATCACTGCTGAGACCCCTCTTCTAATCACAACGTGGTTGGTAAGTTTTGCAATGTAATTATGAAGGAGAAAAGAGAAGGTTGCCACAGACAGTCTCTAAAAAGTATGCACTAAATTACTATCTGACTAAAGTTTCCAACTTTAATTGAAAAACGAAATGCTTAAAAAAATCTCAGCGTGAAAACAACTCCTTAAGTCTATGGAGAATAAACCTATATTCATATAAGAGGACTAACAGACAATTTAATAATGTATCAAGATACAAACAGAAATAACAAAAAACTGAATATTCATCCATACTCTTACTGGCATTCACAAAGGTTTTTTATGCTTAATCAAATGAGACTTGGACAGTTTTTGAACAGGAAAAAGATGATACACAAAATTCATGTGTCAATTGTTTATCATGCACTTTCCTCAGAAAAGGAATAAGATTTTGATCATTTTAAAGCCCTGAAAATGACTTGTCTGTTTACATATTGTGTTAGGGAGAAAGCAATGTAAAAACATGTAAGCATCTGATTATTGACTGAAGGAAAACTTTGTCTCACATTAAATTAAAAATCTGAAGAAGATCAGATTCATAAGTAAAAAATTATAGTGCACATTTTCTTACTTAAAATAAATAAATAAATAAATTAAATAAGAATCAGACTACTGCCCCAATCTTACATATGGAAAATATAGTATGGAACATTTCAAGAATTTAATTTGTCATTCAAAAAAACATTTTGACATGAAGTATTATGTGTGTAGTTTATGTATTGACAAATCATCATTTTCAGGTGATAAAAAAGAAGTTTTAAAAATCTCATTTTGATGTTCTAGATCATGCAGAGGAGCTAATTCATAATGTGAACTCAAAGACAAATGCTGCAGATCCAGGGAAATCTCTAAATGCCAAATTAGAGCTCTGGGTTTAAAGTAGTAATTTTGGTCATCCATATTAGAAAATGTACACCTCCAACTCTAGAATTTGAGACACTATAGGAGACTGAAGTAATTTCTGATTTCTATATTAGGATCCATTTCTGCTAACAATAACTTTTAGCTTTATATTAGCATCTACTTGACTCACTAGAGAGAAAATAGAGAGAGGAATTTACAAGAAATTTCCATATCTCTCCTCTGTGAATTCAAACTTATACCTTTCACCTACATGTCAGCATTGATAATTTCACTTTCCAGGCCTTCTCTGTATGCAACAGAAGATGCCTAAAAAGTCTCTGAAAGTATCATCATTTTGTCCTGCTGTACATAGGATGAACTTTCCCACTGAGATTCTTCTTTTTACTGTCAACAGAAGCAGCACGAACATCTAAATGTCTACAATTAAATGAGACAAATCTTTTAAAATCTACAACATATGTATGGAAGATGATTATCATAGTTTTTAAATGTTGATGGTAAATGTTTTCTAATTCCTTTATACATCAAGCCAGCCATAGGCTATATCCTGTTAAAATTCTTACATCCTCTGTGAATCTCACAGGATCATGGCCTGCCATCTGATTAGTTTTTACAGTTGTACTGATTCCAAATTTACAAAAAAGTCACTTGATATGTGAGAATATGTTCTCTGGTACTCTGGAAATGATAAATTACTTTGTAAGTATCTACTCAAAGTTTGAGAAAAACATGACAACTATTTTAAATATTATTGTTTAACCTTCCTATTAGCACAAAATCTAGGATGGAGAAATCATGACAAGCCTCCTGATATAGCAATTTAGAAAGCCTCATCACTTGTGTAGCATGATGCTTTGGAACCAAAATTATAACTCCGCCACTGAGGAATTTCTCACATACTAATACAAAAAGACCACACTGAAGAAAAAAAGTGTTCTAATACTTTACACATAGATTTAATGATACAATAAAAAAAAAAATCATCTTTAGCAAACAAGATTTATTCAACTACTTATACAGTTTCCTGATGAAGATACGTTATATGCTAATTAAAACAACATACCAGGAACTGTACATTAACTTTCTTCAAATCTTTAAAAAATGTTCCTCTGAACTGTAGTGAAATGTAACATAGTAAGCCTTAATTTATATCTGACAAACAAGGAACAATTTTCTTTGTGCTGAAGCTGTAGCTGAAATTTGAAAGAGGCACAGATTTCAGCTTCATTCAGTATTTTTTCTATGGCAAATATTAATTTGGGTTCAGTCACCAGTGCAAATTCTCAGAAAACACTCAAGTCTACGCTCAGCATGCAAAAAGTTCTGGTCTCTAAAATATTGTTTTTAAGTGCTTGTCGCCTTTCAATAACACAGAAATCAATGCAAGTTCTTCACCTTCATAGCAATGGAAATCCTAAAAGTTTAAACACACTTATCACAGTGCCAGAGTAAATATATTTGCAGCTAGAAGGGTACTTCACTGTTACATTTGTTGTCGATTGGAAAAAAATCATCTTGTTTCTCCCCTTGGAGATCCAATGGATGTGAAGCAGCCAAAAGCTTTTTAATTTTTGCATAATGTAGAATAAAGGAAAAACAGACAGGAAAGGAAAGTGAAATAAACCAGTGGAGTGGGAAACTAAATAATAGAAAATGTCAGGTTGCTGCGAACAAGAAAGAGGTACAGTGATATCAGGGAGAAACTGATGCATGGGGAAAGTATATACCAGAGATGACTGACCAGACTATGTCGAAGGAAGCTTAAGCACTCCACATTTGGTTCCTCTCATTGATTTGAACAAATTTTTCTCTGCTTGCTTGCTTGCTTACAGCTCTACCTTCTTATTTTGGTCCCCTCCACCCTCTACTCCCACTTGCTCTGTAGCTTTACTTCACTTAACTTGTTGCAGCAATTGTAGCCTCAATATATTCAGCTCTGTTAGCTTCAGTGAATTTGGCACTCACCTGAATGTCTAATATGACAGACACAGAACCTCAAGAGAGTTTTGATAGGAGCTGCAGCTCCCTGACTTCAGTATAGCTGAATGTATGACAGCTCAAATGTAATGCAAGTCTGACTAACAGAATAATACCACTTGGATGTGCAATGTACATTAGGTGACAGCAGCTCTGAATATTTCAAATGTACATTTTTTTCTAATAGAAAACTAAAAATAGCCCAGCTATAAGCCTGCATAAGAACCCTATGAAAAATCTAACATGATCAATGGGAACTTTTGATACTAAATGAAAGTAAAGAATGTCCTTTGGTTGACTGCAGTTTGGCTTTGTTAGTTTTACAAAAAAGATATTATTATTCTGCAAAGCAAGCATTTCTACAGTCCACCAACCTTATAACAGGTAAGTATAAACATAACTGTGGATAAAATCCACTGCAGTAATTCTGAATGCATTCATGTCATTCAGTTCAGAGAAAAAAGCAACCATTTCAGTTTTGGGGTATTGTTTTGAGACTGAATAATTGAACAAGTGATTGCTCTGTCTACATTAACAATTAGAGGTTTATATCCTACACATGACAACTGGTCAAGGCACTGTTAAAAGAAAAATCTTGAGTCTGTGCACAAGAATAAACTGGAAATTCATCCTTCCTGACATTATGAAAAACACACTCATGATATGGCACTGAGCTTTGGAGTTTCATTCCAAGGCTCATGCACTCTGCAAAACTCCTGTCAGCCAATTTTACATGCCAGGTGTCTTAGAGGAAAGGGGATCCTGGAAAGGAAAACCAGTAGAAAAGAAAAGAATACTGGGTTTACTTCATGTAAACATGATGAGGTTCTTTAATACAGGAAAAAATACAGGCCAAATGCTTCAGGTCTTAAATTGAGCAAAACTTCTTGTACAGTCAAGAACTTTACTTATTAGAAATCACAGATTTTGGCTTAGCATGATTGATGCAAGACAGATATGGAGAACTGTGTAGCTGACAAAAGAAATTATATGAATAATACTGTCATCACATTCCCCACGTTAGCAAAGCTCATAAACACATAGGCAAAAGAAAAAAGGGGGGAAAAAAAAAAAAAAAAAAAAGGAATTTAACCATTTACTTAAGTGTTTTTTGAAAATAAGGCTATGTTTGTTAAAAAAAGTGTTATTTCAAATTTCATATGAAGAATGTCAAATAGCAGAATCCAATAATTTACGTAAAAACCATCACTATAGCCATACCTAAATTTGCTTAATTAAAACCCGGTAATCTTCTTCATTCTTATAAAACTACTATAAATTAAAAAAAAAATAATAATAACGACAAGAGAGTCCACCAAAGGGTGGAGAGACACTATGGACTTTAAGAGACTTGGCAAAAAAGAGTTGTTCTTGTGTGCTTGAGACATTTACTTCCAACTCTTCAGAAAATAGGAGCAATTGCTGGGAAAAAAAAAAAAAAAAAGTAAGAAAGAAGATAAATTCTAATGAACTGGTAAATATTTTACATTTGAATCAAGAATGAGAAGACAAAAAGTTATTTTTACATTATTTTATCCTTTCTGTATCCCATGACAAGGCATGTAATGGATACAGTTAACTGGCCTCATTTCAGTTACTTTTAGAATGCAAGGGAATGTACCAACAACAAAATGAGATAAAATTCACGTATCTGCATTTTCAAATCAACAAGAAAAAAAGTGAGGATGCAGTATCCCTAATTCTGAATACTTAGAAAATCACAACGCCTTGATTTATTTCATAACGTATCTTTTATATATATAGAGATAGATAGATACTGCAATTTGCATAATATAATAAAACTTTTAAGGCATACTCCAAGGAAAAAAAAATATTTTTTCTATCATTTCTTAAGTGCCTTTAATTTGTGGGTGTATAAATTTGCAAGAAATAGTCTGAAAACCTATTTTCTTACCTATTTCTGCAGGACGAAATTCTAAGATGCTTGACCAGAATGAGACATCTCCTAAGGAAGCAGCTGAATTAAAGACAGAGTAAAAATCTTAAGATTTAGCACTTGCTACTATATGCAAGCCCCATGTAATGCCTTTTGCCTGGTTCTTTTCACTTGAGGTTATATTTCTTGTCACTCACAGACCTTTATCTGTTGAAAGCGCAGAGAGGATGGCAGTTAAGAATTCAAACTTGCAGCATTTAATATGATAGACAAACGTTTATCCTGAGAAGTTACAAATAGTTCAGGGGCCAACAATTTTGAAGAAGGGAAGCTACTCAGAAATATGATACAGTGTTACTGAAAACCAAAATTAGGGAAAAACATAGATAGCTTCTGTCAGTGGTTTTGCTGGAATTTTAAAACACTTAAATAAAAAAGCATTTTCATATTATATATTAACAAACAGCAACAAATTTAAAGGTCCAAGAACTAGAGATGAAGTCCTCACAAAGTCTTCTAATAAGAAATGGGAGCCCAGTTTCCTGGGGCAATTCTGAATAGCCCCAGCTGTTGACATTTACTGAACACTTTCAGTTCCCTGCATTCACCTGACCTTAAAGCATTTGGCTGTAAAGAGATAAGGCTTCCAATGTGAAAGATTTAATTTTTTTTAATATATATATTTTTATTGTTTTTAAGTAAAGCAGAATTGCTGGAAAAGGTAAAAAGAGGAAATGTTTTTAGGCCATTTTGAGGGAGGGAAGAAAAGATTATCAACCAAGAGGAAATGATTGTGTGAACAGGGTGAGCCACAAACACTAAAGAAGTATTATAAAAGGAAAACCAAACATATCTCATTACCATTAAAAAAAAAAAAAAAGATGGTGGAAGCATATAAAACGCAATGAACAAAACAAGATTTTACTAGTGCTGATTATTTGAAAGGCCACTTTCACCTCCTAGTGGTGAAAAATCAAAAGCAGAGTAGAGTTTTAAAATAAATATCCACAATGTTAGTTCCAACCACTGCATCTTAAATGTAGTACAGCTGCAGGCATTTACTATAATATTTTTTTTCAAACTATAATGAGAAATATTTGATGGGCAGACATTTCCTTTCACTTTAGACATTAAATAGATGTTCATGTGGACAGGACACAGGAGATATTTCAATACCTGGGGATAGTAGAAGAAAGTGAACTTGTTAAGTTCAGCTCTTCCATAAGTATAAAAAAAAAAAAAAATAAAAAAAAATGCAAATACATCAATAAAGCAGTTGGAATAAACTTTAAAACTGTGTTAACAATTATAAAAAATGTTTTCCTTATTTATCAAAAAATATATATATATCAAATTTCTGACATATGAGGAGAGGCTGAGCAAGCTGGGGCTCTTCAGCCTCCAGAAGAAAGGTTCAAGGGGGAATCTTATCTAAGTGTACCAGGCTGCAAAGTAGTAAAGAAGACAGAGACAGTCTCTTTTCAATCATATCTAGTGAAAGACAAATTGGCAATAGGTGTGTGAAACAAAGGAAATTCTGCTCAAATGTAGCAAAAATCATCCTACTATAAGGGTAGCCAAACACTGGAATGAACTGCCTAGAGAGGTAGTGAATATAATCCTTTGAGATAATCAAAATAATTCTTGGACATAATCAATCATCTTTGGAGATAACCAAATCCAGCTGGACATGATCCTGAGCAAAGTGCTATAGCTTACCCTGCTTTGAGCAGGGGTGTTGGTCCCTTCTTACCTCAGTGATTCTATGGTCCTGTAACAACAGAATAAAATAAAATAAGTTCTCTGGGGAAAACTACAGCTGCCAATTAAACTAATTCCTTAAATCTATGTTTATTAGAGGAAGGGCAATGAAATTACAGATATTTTAGCATTATGTTTTTAATTGGAAAAATCTAAACAGAAAACATATGCTATATCACTTTCCAAAATCATCTAAATTCAAAAAACTCATTCAAAAAGAACTTTGAAAGGAAGAATTCACATACATTTCTAGGTGTAACAAACAGCAAACAGGCCATCTTAAAATACTATCAAAGCAATTTATCTGTATACTTCATTTTAGCAGACTGACTGTCATTATTCTTTACATCATCTGCAATGGGATAGCCTAAAATAAATGAAGAATAGGACAAAGCACTCAGATGATCTAACACTGTTATATACCATAGAGCCTGTACCATCACTTCTGACCTATTTGGAAGCATTTCACAGAATCACAGAGTTGTCTAGGTTGGAAGAGACCTCAAGATCATCAAGTCCAACCTCTGACCTAACACTAACAAGTCCTCCACTAAACCATATCGCTAAGTTCAACATCTAAATGTCTTTTAAAGACCTCCAGGGATGGTGACTCCACCACTTCCCTGGGCAGAACATTCCAATGCCTCACAACCCTCTCCGTAAAGAAGTTTCATTTCATTGTTGACCATTTGGGATCTTCTATTCCCCAAAGTTATGTTGAATTGTTACCAAAAAGAAGTTGATGAGCGTCTAAGAGAGCAGCTACCTCTTCATGATATACTGAAATTTATTAATAATTTACTGTAAAAGTGGAATCCCATATACATGTATTGCATAAGAAAAGATAAGCAAAGAACACTCTGGCTGTCAGTTAAGTTCGAGTTGTCCATGCTTAATGTTGCAGAATGATTAGAGACAGCTAGAATGTGACCAGATTTCAGTTTGAAGAGCTATTTGTGTTAAAACTGTGTACATCCCAGGACTTAAGTGTATTAAATGAAGATGTTTTATATAAGACATAAAGATTTAAAGGCACCAATTTTGCTAGGTACCCCTAGCAAAATAAAATGAAATTATAAAGAAAATTAAAATTACCAATATAATGAAGATTCACCAAAATTATAAGAAGAAATTTTAATGACTTCCAAGATATTTCATATTTGATCAACACAAATATTCCAATAGGGGATGAGCCTTCCCCAATATTTTTAATATCTTACTTGACCTACATATTGAAAACAACATTGAAATATTCATATTTCTGTGTTTTGCAAATTAATAAAATTCTCCTGGAAGTTTCTAGTCTAATGTCCTTGAAAGCACTTTGATGATGAAGAAAGCATTAACCAGCTGCTGCTTCACAGATGCTGAAAAAGCATAGAACAAATGATACTGATTGTAATGATATGTTGCAGAAGCGATAGCAGTGGAGCACTTCTGTTGAAGACAGTCTTCCTGTTAAACAGAAGACCAAGCACAGACTCTTCCTCTTGTTCTGTATAATATGACTAGTACAGATTGCAAATCTCTTATAAAGCCTACAGGGTTTCTGACTAATACTGAAAAGAAATTAGAAGAAATCCAGCTAAGGGCCAAACAATATGAACTGAATTTCATGTGTTATTGGAAATTACATAAAGCTTTCAGTTAGCTAAAAGGAAATAAGAATTGCAATCAGAAAACATCCAAGTACATATTTCTTAAATTTAGGTTAATTTACTAAAGTTATTTTATTTCCTCAACTTCAGCTGCTTGAGACAAACTTCCAGTGACAGCTACAGGTCTTACTTTCAATAAAGCTAACTTCCTCACTTCTAACAGAATCATCAGTTTTACTTAGAATGTATATGTGATTGAAAATGGATATTTCCTTCTGCACAGAAAGTATCAACACCAAACAAATACCAATCAATTATTAGTCAAGAATTCACTTTTTCTCTGGAGGAGTGAAAAAAAAAAAAAAAAAAAGCATTCTTACATGAGTGGTTGTTGCTCTTGACTAAGAACTTAATTTGACATGGCACTGAATAAATATTTACTAATCTTGGAGGAAATAGAGAATGTTGACACATCTTAGGAGAAATAAGCCATTTCAGGATTGAATCTCAGAGTCAAATTTAATCTATACAAAAACACTAACACTGATAGTAACACAACTTTTAAGAGGGTGGTAAGTTATACTGAAATAAACTACTTCATGGAGTCTCTCAAAACTCTCCTTTGTACAACGATGATAAGCATGCAGACAGGAATTTATGCAGCTGTTTTATGTGACAATTCTCTGAAGAAATCTAGAACTTATAAATTTGGAATGATGAAACATGTTTCCAAACATAGTTAAAACAAATTAGAATTTTTCATTTCTGAACATATATTTAACATTGTTAATATTACTCAAAACTGGTGGGAATGGCAGCATGACTAAACAATAAAATCAATGGGTATACCTTTTTTTTTTAGCAGAATTGAGCATGTTAAAAGGGAAAAGCAACAATTTTCCAACACTGTCAAAAATAGCAGTTTTGAGATTACTGACATCCTGAAAACAGATAATCTTTAAATTTTATTAAGATCCAAAGTGCAATTCTAATTAATACTTGAGTGCCAAATCAAAAAAAAAAGGAAGGAAGGAAGGAAGGAAGGAAGGAAGGAAGGAAGGAAGGAAGGAAGGAAGGAAAAAAGAAAGAAAGAAAGGAAAGAAAGAAGAAAGAAAGGAAGAAAGAAAGAAGAAAGAAAGAGAAAGAAAGAAAGAAAGAAAGAAAGAAAGAAGAAAGAAAGAAAAAGAAAGAAAGAAAGAAAGAAAGAAAGAAAGAAAGAAAGAAAGAAAGAAAGAAAGAAAGAAAGAAAGAAAGAAAGAAAGAAAGAAAGAAAGAAAGAAAGAAAGAAAGAAAGAAAGAAAGAAAGAAAGAAAAGCAAGCTGGGGTGATTTCACTTAACTCTCAATCCACTACATCTGCCACCAGGTAAAGACATCAGTGACCCTTTGGGCTTAAATGCAAGGCAACCACTGGACTATCTAACTATGACAAATATCACTTCTCTGTGCTGCATATGCCATGTTTTGGAAAGGTGATATCACATAAGCTTCCCCAAAATAAGACCAGTTTCGCTGAGTCTGCAGGTATCCATTAATTATCACCAAGGCCAAAGGCACTGCCAGCCATGATACATGTTTTACCAGATTGAGGCAGATTTAAGGTTTTACAACTTCCTTCCACCTCTTAGCTGTAAGGACTGTACTCAGACTTCAGTTTGCACTAGAAAGTCTTTGAAAGCACTCACTTGACTTTAAGGTCCACTTTTCCTGACAACCTTTTTTTTCCATCTGCTGATGGCATAAGAAGTGCAGTAAAACTTTAGTGACCTTAAGTAGTTTTGCTGCACTGAGGAAAACTCTATCTTGGCATCTACACATAACACTAGCTGAAGGATTTCAAAGCATGAAATCCATCTTGCTGGCTGCCCTCTGCCCAGGAAGTGGACTACTTCCTAAAGTCTAAAAGTAAAATAGCTGGTTAAAAGGTGAACCCAGATTTTTAAACCATTTACCTGCTTTCTTTTATTTAATTAGCTTTTTTCATGTGATTCTTTCTCAAATGTACTATGAGTGAAGAGCCTGCCCTACACTTGTCCCCATGACAGTCGCCATGCCTCCAGCCAGATCATCCAGCAGAAGCTAAGTGACTCTCAGCAGCAAGAAAGAAAAAGAATTATCCAGGATGCTGACAAAGTTCCACACAA